AGTCTGCAACGTAAATGTGTGTTTTAACACTTAAGTCTGTTAAGATGAAGTTAGACTTCCCAAATTATGAATGCTGGACATAGATTTCTCCAATTCCGGGAGCAGGAAAGAGTTTAATACAGTAAGGCAGGGTGTTTTATTTCAGAATGTGCTAATAAATTAACGAATGTAAATTCTATAATTTCTAATTATACAGGGAATGTTCACCAATAGATGCCAGAAATTAGGTGTGCCAGTGTCAAACTATGTAAATGCTTGTGCCACAAGAAGGTATGGCATACAACTGAATTCTAATTTTGCGGCTTGGGAAAACTTCCGTCTTTCCCAGGTGCCAACGGCTCTGAGGCGATCCCATTGATGAGCCAGGAATGCTCTGCTGAGCGACTCATGGAGGAAAAGGGAAAAAAATGGTCACGGGGAGATGCATATTCAAATAAACTTCACTCTTGGCCTGCGCACACAAGCCATGTTGTCACCAGCTGGCAGTGGTTCTCACCGCCCCTTCAAATGCTGAGCCACTTTTGATTAACGTCTCTTCAGTTAATCATGCGCGTTGGCTGTGCCAAATTGGACAAGATGCATATGGCTTAGATTTCCCCTCAGAATCTCTCTTATTTTAAACAAGACCAAAGCTTTGGAGTCTCATTTTACCCCACATACCAATTTCCTTAAGTCTGCTTTTGTCTGGTGTCCATACATAGAACTCGGAGGGTGGTGAGGTGGCACACCGCCATCCTGTGAGTCCTTGAATGAGAAGCGTATCACTGCCAGATGAACCCAGCTGCATAAATGTTATTCATTTTTTACGGCTGGTGTACATAATATGGCCAGTGTGGGATATTGTGAGGCTCCAGTAAAGGCTGGAAAAATCCTCAAAATTGAATCAAAGTGGAAAATCTATTTTTCACCAGACCTCCTCCTTTTCTATCTGTCTTATGCTCCTCTCCTTCCTGTCTCCTTTGCCTTGAGTTTCCTCTACTACGAGCGTTTCTCCTCGCCGAGCCACGTTCACAGCAGTGTGGGTACAGCTGGAATATTTGTCAAAGGTCCAGAGGTGCAAAGACATTAGACAGCACTTTGTCACCAGGGTCTGGAATTCACACCATTAAGCCATGTCCAAGTCAGCTCCTTAACCAATGACTGTTCTGGCTTCTGTCAGCTGCAGCTCACTTGACACAGAGCGCTAAAAAAAGATGGCAACATGAAGGATGTGTGCAGCTAGCCTTTTTAGGTGCTCAAAACAACACCCACTCTTACAAAGAGGAGCTGTGACAGTGATCAACTGCCAAAGCCCTTGACTTGGTGCTCTCTCACCAAATTCACTCTGTTCATATATAGCATAGTGGTGCAGAATGGCCGTCCTCAGGGTCCGCTAACCCCCCTGCAGAGAGATACTCACCTCCCAAATCACCGGGCTCGGCAAAGACCCCAGCAATCCAAATGTGATCATGGCCGGGGCCTCCCCGCCTCATTAGCAATTTCCATTTCCAGACAGCTTTCAAATGAGAACTAATGCATTAAGTCTAGCTTGGGGAGGGAAGTCAAGGGAGCCGCTAACATAGTGGCTCAGACAGGCTTTCATACATGTTTTATCAGTCTGGGGAGAGAGAAAAGAAGCTTGGATGGAACCATTCATTTCTTGCCCATCCTATTAGCTTGGCAGTGTGTTATTAGCTGCCATTGTGCTCCATAGAAGTCCCTCTAGCCTGTTCCACTGCTCGGCGAATCCAGGGCGAGCTCCGTGCCAGGCGCTTTTTGGAGCTATTTGAGACCATGAAAATTCAATCCCAAACCCTCAGCATTGAGGTTTCTCTCAGATAAATGAAAAGGATTACTAGAACAATAAAACAATGTCGTACCTCAAATTCCGCTGTATCCTATTAATTGGGATCATTGAAAAAAAAAAAAAAATGTCCAAAAGGAGCATTTTTTCTTTTTTTGTAAAAAGAAATCCTGTTATAGCAACAATTAAGATACATTGTAAATTATGAACGGATAAAATTAGAAAATCACATGAAACGCGAGTAAGTAAAAATAAAAAAATTTGAAGAAGGAAACGAGCCCAATAGATGAAAAATGACTGAAAAAGAAAGTAAAAACTGCAGACGCTCTGGTAATCCACCTTCAGTCAGATGTGTTAGGCAAGGTGTCAATTGTTTCCCATCTGATGATAGACTGTGTGCTGAAATAAATTGACCTTGCCAGACGATGAGTGAAATTGATGGAGCTTTTCATCTCTGGAGGGCCAGTTCTCACACAGCGATAAAACAGCTGAAACACTGACTGATGGAGTGTTTGGAATACCGGAGCTGGATTTTCTTTAAAGATTTATTACGGAAAAATCTTTACATCTTGACAAGAAAACAGTTTTATATAATGCCATGCTAAAGTTTTTTTTCTTTTTGCCTCTTGGACACATTTAAATAATAAAAAAAATCCTATATTTCAAGGTATTTCATTTTAAATGTAAGATGAAGAAAATAAGTTGCCTATATCAAGTTCCAGCATATTGATATGTGGCTGTTTTTGTAACAGCAGTGATGAGTAAAAACTTCTACCCATCTTCCCTTGAGAAAATCTTTTCCACATGATGATGCTGCCACCACCATGCTTCACCTCAGGAATGCTAATCTCTGAATGATGCTTGGTGTTAAAATGCCCAAAACACATAACTTTATTTTTTTGCATGCAGACTAAAAAGTTGAATTATATTTTAATATGACCCTTTTTTTAATTTCCAACACAAATACTGACTTTTCCTGCCTCTGTAGCATAAAAGTCGAAGTTTTACATCACTAATAGTTGTCAAGCCAATAGATTTTTCTAAATCTCTGCAGCTCCTCCAGATTAAATGAGTGATAATCCCACTGATATTCTTATTAAAGCTTCCATTTGTTTAGCCTGGAGAGTTCAGGTGGATCATCATCATCTGTTCCTACAGCTCTTTATAACCTATACCTGCATTTTAATTATTTAATAACTGTCAACTCAGACTCAAATCACATAACAGGGTTTGACATTTTTTTAACTCTACTTGTGGGGGGTTTTCACTGTGTTTTATACCCATAGCTAAAGCACAACATGGTGCTCAAGATGCTAACGTTGTAGGAAACAGTGTTGGGGTAGAAAAGAGAAAGACGGAAATCAAACTATAATAATTTTAGTCATGTTCCAACATAATGCAGATCTAACTTATTGTGTTGTGATCGACACTGACTACAGAGACAATTGATCACATTTATACATTTTCCATCACGCTTAATCCCTGCTGGGCTCAGGAGGGGTGCTGGTTCCTTTCTCCAGCTGTCTATGAACGGGGGCGGGGTACACCCTGGACAGGTCGCCAATCCCTCGCAGGGCAACACAGAGACGTACAGGACAAACAACGATTCACGCACACACTCACACCTAAGCCAATTAACCTAACAGTTATGTTTTTGAACTTTGGGAGGAAGCTGAAATAACTGGAGCGAACCAATGCATGCTCAGGGAGAACATGCAGAAAGTACCCGGGCTGGGATTCAAACCCATATCCCTCTTGCTGCATGGCAGCAGTTCTACCCACTGCACCACCATGCAGAACACTGGAATTATATTTTCTAAGGTCATCTGCAATTACCTGAGTTCTACTTAAACTACAGATGAGTAGATATTCCAAATCAAATCAGTTAGGATACTGATGTGTCAAGCGAGTCCTTTCTTCAGGTTGATATGATCCTGAAATGTTTTTTTTTTCAAATTTGTTAAATGTTTCTAATAATTTCTAATAATTTGAATCAATGATATTATTATTAATATCATTATACCCGACACTGAGTAAAATTCTCTTTTAGCAGTAATCATCCCATCTGGACTGACCGAACCTTCCAACATTTAAGGACCAAGGATTCCCTTCTCTGACTTCAGAGGAAGATAATATTCATAAACTTCAGAGAATACACTTTGATTTGTGTTCCCCTGGTATAAAACCACAACAACCTCCAATAATGTTTGTGGCCTGGGGTATGAACACTTTTGCAAGGCTCTGTCCGTGTTGTTTTCTGTATTCCAGGGTCTGAGAGCACTTGGTGCTAAAGTGAGGCTGGCCGCTGACAGATGCTACCTCATGAGGAATATATGGTTCAATTACCTGGAGTCTAAATTGAAAGTGATAGTGATTTAAGCCTTCCCAATACACCAGCCACATTCTGGCAAACAGTCTTTTCAAGGAGCTATTTAAAAAAAAAAAAACCCTGCTGGAGTGTGAGACACAGGAGCGCCATTGATTTTCAATAAGATCCCCTAATGACCTGGCCATGGTTTGATCCACGCTGTCATTATGGGCTGCTGCCATGGGACAGAAATGCGAGGCGCACGGCACAGAGCAGAGAGATGAGTAGTCGAAGCGTTATCAGGATGAATTGGCCATCTCTAGACAGGCGGCGAGCGCAGGCCTCGTCAATAACAGGACGGGGGCACCTCAGGACTCCCCCAGCGGCCCACTCCAGAGAGCCTTCTGGCCTCATTAGAAAAGCAGATGAGTGGTGTGCATGAGGAGAGGAGCTTCTTCTCTGCCATCCGATAGCCTCCCAACTAAGCGTTGCTCCCCTTAATGAGTCCAGACCGCAGGTCAATATGCCGCTGGGCTGCCAGTCAATACCGGTTACCTGCAACACAAACACTGAAAACCCGCTTTCATACAAAATCAATGTTCTATTAGTCCACCCTGTATTGCTTTGGCCCAATCCCATTGATTCCCTCTGAAGAGCTCTGGAGCTCATGTATGACAGATCATGGACAAATGATCTGATGGCCGGGGCACCTCGGCTGGCCCAGCTCGGCTGTCTTTATGATTTCAGAGTAATAGCTCCCCATAAAATGAGAAAACAATGAATTCTGAAAAACTGAGGCAGAAGTGTTATTGGCAAAGCTATCAATCACATCTAAAATATCGCTCAGTAAGTTTAACGCGTAGACAGATTTACTACTTGTTTACAACAAGATGAAAGATAGGCCGGAAGTGATTGACATTAGGTCCAAACTTTATTCCTTACATTTTAAACCATTAATGTTCATTTTTTCTTTTTTTTGTTTCCACGCCTAAAACTCTACTGTTTTTTGTATACAAGAATCTAAGAAAAACAACTGCACAACACCACAAGGTTGACAGATAAAGTCCCGTAGATGACCACCGAAACAGCGTCCTTATTTTCTGCACAGACCTGGTCCGTTTTCAGACTTGGAAGTCTTTTTAATCATCCCGATGATTTCATTGGTACATATAAACAATGTGCTAAATCAAAAGTTTCTCTCATCTTCTCCAGTATTGTCAGCTTGTTCCAGTAGATTTCTTCTGTTAGGGTGTGTGTGCTGCTTTGCATAGATTGCAGACGATCCATCCAGGCTTCCGTACAACACCCTCCCCGCATAATTCCAATCCATTTCGCCGGTTGTTTGACACCATTTTGGACAGGCAGGTGACTCCGTGTTATTTCATTTAATTTCATTTTTCTAAAAATGGTTAAAAAGACTAATAAATTTACAATGCAATCTTGCAGCAAAGGATATCAACAGGTTATTTACATCAGTTATTTTTTTTTTTACAGAGACTGAACAAACAGTATATATAGAATCACACACACATATGTGCGTGTGAATGTATTTATCTGCATATCTCAAAGGCATACCAAATTAACAAATTAAGTCGATAATGTAGCAATGTACATCATTGAGGATATCCAGGTACTATGAGGTTAAATTACTGATGGTTGAATCATAAGTCAAGTCTTTACATCATCAGAAAGGATATGTCTCACAATAGACTGGGATAAATATTGTAAAAGGCAGGACGAATGCACAAAATACATAAAATTCATAGAAATCATATCTATACATGGAACAAGGGTAGGAAATGTACAAACTTCTCTAGGACCTTTCCTTTCAGCACAAAGCAGAAATAAGGTATTGGATTAATATATTAATAATTATCAAATATTTAAGTCGGAAAACAAACTCACACGTATCTGTGTTTTCTTTTACCGACGTCATTGAACATCCAGTCTACTAAAAAATAGCCATGGCATGTGCTTGGTTAGCCTTATGCACCTTTACTTTGTACAATCATACCCTTTCCCTTAGGGGGGGTTGGCGCTTCTTGTTATTTCCCACTCAAGAGAAGTGAAGTTCCTGAGTTTCCGGAAGCTACCGAGCCTCGACTTCTTTGGGGTTGCGAGATGGGGAATAGTCCCTCGGGTCCTGGGTGGTGAGGGGGGTAGTCCTCCTGGGCGAGGCGGACCTGGCGCTGCCAGCCGGCACAAGAGGCGGGGGTGCACTTAGTGAGGCGGTAGGCGGTGTTCTGTTTAGGGGGCCGTTGTGTCCTGTAGACGGGCTGAGTCTGGGGTATGGCATGCCACCTAAGTGGGACATAAAGGGGGGCATGTGGGGGAGGTGCCCCTCCATTGGGGACTGGTGCAGCTGATGGAGGCGTGCTCTGTCCAGCTCCTCCCTCAAGTGGTGGCGTTCTCGCTCCTCTGCCTGTTGTCGCATCCTCTCGTGCTCCCTGCGAACCTCCAACAGATGCTCATGGTGAGAGTAGTCGTGAGCCTCCCTCTCGCGGTAGGCGCGCTCCTGCTCGTAAACGCTGGGGAAGCGGTGTCCCTGCTCGGCCCTGAGCTGGAAGTCCATGCGCCGCTGCAGGTCCAGGCTGCGGTAGGCCTCTCTGAGCGGGTCCCATGGGAACGCCGTGTGTGGCAGGCGCTCTCGTCCTGCCAGTGGACTCACTCCCATGAAGGGAGCCATGCGAGCTCTGTCCAGTACGTTGAGGCTGCCCATTTGAGGCATGGCGCTCATGGAGAGAGGAAGAGAGTGCGACATAGGGACGCCATGCAGGCCTGGTGCTGGGATATCACTTCCGCGGGGGGAAGGAAGATGAGGTTGCTGCGACAGAGGTGGGTGGTGGTGGTGAGGGTTTCCTGGTTGGCTGACAGGTGACGGGAGGACCTGGGCTGCCGGTTGGGGCGCTGGCTCTGAACTTACCACCATGACCTCCTGCTCTTCCTTCCTCTCCTCCTTAATCTTCATGTCATTTTTCACTTTGTGGAGGAGCTCGGCAGACGTGGGCTCCTTCCTCTCACTGTCCTTGATTGCAGACGGAAGTCCACCGGCCATCTTCATGCTCTGCTCATTGATCATGGCCTTGGAGTAAGGAGAAGGAGAGCGCTGAGGGGCTTTGATGGAGTCCTCGGAGGCCCGTCTCTCCAGCATCTCCTTCCCTGGTGAGCGGCTCTCCTTTACCTTTACATCCCCCAGAGAAGACTCCCTCTGTCGTTCTAGTAGTTCTTTCTCTGCCTCACGGACCCGGTCTACGCTGCCACTGTGATGCCGACCTGAGTCGCTGGAGTTCTGGCTGTTGGAGCGGATCAGGCTGCTGATCTGGTAGCTGACTGGCGCTGAGGCAGGTGAAGACCGATTTGAGTGGCGGTTTCGATCCACAGAATCCCTGTAATGGAACAGTTTTGGTATATTAGTACACCGTTACATACAAACCTTTTCTACTAAAAAAAAAAAAAAACAGAAAAGCCAATCAGCTTCTTACTCAAAATCTATTTTCATTATTTGAACCCACACCCAGAACTGTCAGGATTTCTTCTTCAAAGGTTGTCTCACAGTTATTTGCATTATGTGCCAGTCAAATAAAGGAAGGAACTATGGATCACTTCCTATGAACACAACGAAAGCTTAACCTCTTAACAGCCACCTCATTTTGGGCACTACACCCCCCCCCAATGTATTAAATCCAAGCTTTAAACACTTCCACAGTTGCAGGTGTAAAAGATCCAGCACCTACTGCTTCAAGGGGAGTGTTGGCCTAGTGGTTAGTAGTGTTGCACTGATACCCATACCAGTATGGGGCAGAGCAGCACTAAAATGTTGGTATCGTATCGGCGAGTACCAACAATAGGGCACCGATACCATTTTGAGAGCCAAAAGTTTATTCAACTATTGTCATCCTTTCCAGGTAGGCAATAAAAAGTTCTACTGGATTCACTTCATATTAGTCTTTTTCCAAAGCCATGGTGACAATTATTTTACATCCAAGTAGTATGCAGTTCTTCACATATTCACACACACATCAATTTCAAACAGATGGTATCGGTATGGGCCAATACTGCCAGGTATCGGGGCCAAAAAATGGAATCGGTGCAACACTAGTGGTTAAAGCAGTGTGCTTGTGCTCTGAGAAGGTTGCAAGTACCTGGTTTGATCCCCACAGCCTGCACTCTGGGTCCCTGAGCAAGACCCTTATCCCCACACTGCTCCCCAGGCACCACACAATGGCGGCCCACTGCTCCCCCAGGGGATTGGTTAAATGCAGAGTTCATTTTGTTGCTCTGTACTTGTGACAGTGTAATAACAATAAAAGCTGTTAGAAAATCCTGAGAATATTAAATATACTTCTCCATTAATTACGTTTTATCCCAACCATTTTATAATCCTATAAGGTGTAAATTCCAATATTTCATTAATTCTCCCTCAGAAGTCAAATGAGTTGTGGCAGAGATCGGTTTTGTCAAGATAAAGGTAATTAGCCTTAATGTAAGCCACAAGACCCGATAATGAAGCAACCTATCAGACAGACACCATCTTTGTTACTGATATCACTGAGGTAGAAGACCCCACTGGAACTGAAATTTTCTTAGGGTTCATTCTTCATTCTTTTTGACACTGGCGATTTCCAGACGGGTCCAGTGCTGTAACTCAGTTTACCTTTTATCTGCAAAACTGTTTGAAAATTGTTTCATATAAGAGGTGTTGTTTGAGGTGAAAGACTCATTACTCCAGGTAAAAACTGGAAATAACCTCCAAACACTTAAGGGGGCAGTGGCCTTCCTTACAAAGTGTTCTTTCCATCCAATCTGGAAGTGAAAGATCCCTTCTCAGAATTACAACGGATGGGCAGAACAGCACAGCAGTGGTTGCATTGGTGAGGCAGGAGATTCCTTTTAAATATCTCCAGTGTTTTTTCTTATGAGTGGAAGTTACAGGTGGGATTTCAGTGGTTGAAAGTCTGCAGGGCTCTGATCCGACCCCCAAGGTTTTGCAGTCTTTGGAAATTCTGGTTTTGAGCCTAAGTCTTGGAGGGCAAACATTGAAAAACTACCTTCTTGAAAATAAGAAGGTAGTTTGTGCGACAATGGAGGGACATCGGTGCGAGAAGGAGGGTGGATTCAGCCTTCTAGCTGGTCCATCTTCACGAGTCGTTTTCCACAATGGCGGTCATCCAAACAAAACAAGCCAGTAAGGTATCAAACAGGAAATATTCATAGTGTAAAGCGGATGTAGATTTGACCAATCAGAGGCCTTCTGTCTGCGGTCATCCTCAATTTTGGAGAGGTGCACCAGAGCGTCTGCAGTAGGGGCACATTTGCATTAATTGCGACACACGCAGACGACCTGGTTTCTGAGCATAAATTAGCCTTAAGGCCTCCGTACATGGGTCGTGTGCGCTAACCACTATGCCACCCAAGCACGGTGTTGAATTATTTCACTCTATATGTGGTGACATCATTGAAGCAGTCTCATTTAGGAGTCCCTATACTGTGGAGCTACAATTTAACTTGTGCTCTAGTCTGCATGGAAATATGGGAGCTTCATTATTACCAGATTGCTTATAGAGGCATCAAGCAGAACTTTAAATGATTCCATAGAGTTAAACTTAAATTAGTTCAACTGCAAATGTTTGTAGAAGTATCTGGAATCTGAATGTTAAAGTTTCTGAGGGTATTAAAAACATGCCTTCCTCTCACCTGTCCTTATCCTTCTCTTCTTTGCCGATGGATGAGTCTCTTTTCTCTCGGTCCCTCTCTCGCTCTCTGTCCCGCTCTCGGTCATGGCTGTTAGCCGAGCTACTTCGCTCAGCCTCTCCAGCTTTGGGCCACTGTGGAGGGGTGGGGAAAGATGGCGGTGTGCGACGAAGCCTGTTCCAGGTGTCATGGTGGGGGCTGCCAAAAGTGGGCAGTCCTCCTGGCCCTTCTTTGGAACCAAACACACTATTGGACCCTGAAAGGAAGAAGAAAAGAGAAAGACATGGGACTCCGTCAGTTAATTGGGCACAAAAACCTTCTTGAGGACACATAAGATGAGAAAGACTGGACAACAAAAGCTGCTTTTGTCTTTTGTCTCTGGAGGTTCCCTCCCCGAAGCTGTTTGGAAGAGTTAGAGGTTAATGGCTCCCCACAACACAGGCTTTACTTGGGCTCTTAAAGGCCTTCACCCCCCCTCCTCCTCCATTTTTTCTGCAGCGGATGAACAGAGGAGACTCATTTGCCCTCTGGAGAAGAGAGTTGTGAAAAGCAAAGGGAGACCTTAGCATTCCACAGCATGTCTATTCCACATCCATTTTCACAACAGGGTGACTGATTTGGCACACAGAAACAGGAGGGATCATGAAGAACAGAGAAAAGCATGGACAGAAGGATGCAAAGGGAGAAAAGAGAAAACCCTCCATGGAGATGCAAAAGGGGCTTGTCAAATAATTAATAGATGAATTGCCACCAAACAGCAAATCTAAGAGCGCCTGCTGGCAGCAGCGCAGTCACATTAAAGCCAGGCGGTTGGAAACATCACTGATGGATGGAGTGGAGGCAGGGAGGAGCTCTTCTGTGTTCTACTGGTTTGTCGGGCCTCACAGGGCCAGGGTTCGCTTTGACACAGAAACTAGAGCTATGTGTCTTCTGCCTCCCCTCCTTGCTCTCCCTTCTGTCTAACGCTTCCCTGCTCTATTCTGCTTCTGGCCACAGGGGGCCCGATTGAGAAGAGGAGGGGCCAGTGGTGGAGGAGAGAGGGGGGGCAGCGCTTACCAAGCGAGGGGTTGCCTAATCCTCCGAAGGCACTGGTTGAAAGGTTGCCGAGGCCGCCAAAGGAACTGGAGCGACTGAAAGGATCTGCAAAATGCCAAACAGGGATTAGCAAAAGGGGGAGCTGGTTAGCAGTACTCACCCCAACACCAACCCGTTTCACTCAGCTTTTCTCTTACAAGTGAGCTTTTTTTTTTTTTTGGTTTTTTTTAGCGCTGCCATCCTAACCCCCTGCCTGGTAATCGTACAGTAGCCAGGACCCTGGATTTATTGCCTCTAAGCGGAGCTGGCTGGGGCAAGAGAAACATTTCTCTCTGAAGAAGGATTTAGTTTGGACTTTTTAGAGCAAAGTTGGAAATGGTCTAATGCTGGACATGGAAATTAATGCAGCTTAAATGAAGCTAATTAAACTGGAAATTTGATGACCGTTTGACTTCAGTTGAGTATAGTTTCATTCTACCAGGATAACTTATATTTATTTGTTGATTTTCTTAACATCTTAGAATATTTTAATTTTTTTTCTTAAACTCAAAACATGAGTTTAATCTCCACACATACATTTGGAACTATGGCAGTAGTTCATTTAAATCAATTCAATATATATGTTTTCAATTCAATCCCAATTAGTTCCAAAAAGCTGTCATGTCCTCTCTGTGTTATGTTCTTGTTTATATGTCCAGGTGGAGTTGTTAGAGATGATACTGTTAAATCCATCACCGTAAACTGCACATCTGCTCGACTAATCCAGCTGCTAGAAGTCAGCAGAACTTCTGAACTACACTTGAAAATGACCCTGAAATCAAAATGATAAACATCTTGGATTTAAATGACTCCCTGGTTATAAACACCAGTCAAAAACTGGGAGAATGAACAGAGAAAGCATGGAGAGAAAGAGGAGATACACGTATAAACATCTGTCAAAATGCTGTTACTTACACTTACCTGCCAAATGGCCTGGAGGCAGGAAGCCACTGGGATGGGGGGCGGGGCCATACGGAGAGGGTGCTGGGTGTGCAGAGCCTATCAAAGCAAATAGACGGATATACCGATTAATATTAATTGTATTTTCTATTAAACTTTAAGAAAATCTCACCTTGAATAATCTGAAGCATAAATATAGTTGTTTTGAAATCGACTATATGAAAGATGGAGTTTTTACATGCAGTCAAGTTTAGGGTATTCAAAGAGGGATCAAATTACTTAAAATAACCGTAATGTCAAAAAAATCGTAGCATTTCTTTCTAATACTTGTTCTCATCATTACTTCAACTAAAAAAATAAATAAAACAGCTTCCAGATATCCTCCTATGTGAAACAAGCACCAACAACACAATATGCATAGCTATCAATGTAAAATGCAAATACACTGATAATTTTAAAATGTCTTATTAAATGGCAATGTTTACATGTTCACTTTAAGTGATACACTGCCTTCTACCCTGATTGATTAGCTCAGGTTATCCTGAACTATCTCTATAGTTGTGCTGCTATATGCTTAGGGTGCTGGAGGACATAAGCACCACTTTTCCTCACTCCGCTTCATTCTCCCTCTATTCTCCAATTCTTCAGTATTTGTTAGTAGCTTCATTTGGTCTGGTCATGTTTGGCTGTAGCACCATTCGGGACGAAACCAATCAGCTGGGTTGCTGCTACCAATATCTTCAATTATTGATAACAGAATTGGGTCTGCTTTTCAATTTTCAGTCATGTATCTCTCCTAAACATCTGCTTTCTTTTATAGCCTTTGGCATGATAACCAGCTCAGAGCTCATCTTCTTAACTGTTTCTTTCCGATACAGAGCAAGTAGCTAGTTTACCATTATCTTTTCTATCATTTAAAGCTTTTATGTATCAATGCTTCAATGTTCTTTTTTTATGTCTGATTGTGTCTCCTTTAATCCCCAGTTGTCCTGAGCAGAGGGCTGCTCACATCGAGCCTGGTTCTGCGGGAGGTTTCTTCCTGTTAATTTCCACTGTTGCTGCATGTAAGGGGTATGCTAGATAAGTTCTACTTCTTCATACCCCTTTTCAGACAATTTACTATAAGAAATAATCAATGACAGACATTAGGGTAAATATAATGCTTGTTAAGGGTAAACATTGTTTAGTACATTTCTATTTATGTTCAAATTATTTAAATCGAATAGGAACAAGAAATTTTAATTAATATTTACCATCATTTTTTATGTGATAGACATTTGTTAGTATTTCTGAAATTGATTTAATCATTGTTATTATTTGATCATTTCTGAAATTGGAATTGTTCTATTTATTATTATTTGTTCTTTTGATTCATTTATATTATTTGTTAATTTGATTTATTTTTATTTTTTTTTTACTAATATTATTGTCTGTCTATTCATATTCATTCATTCATGCATGCTCTGTGTGAGGGATTGCTGCAGAGTCAGTGACACAATGCAAGCAAATATCTACTGTCCCTACATGCTCATCCAGGAGAAGAGGATCCTGCAAACACTTGGTTTTCCTTAGATAGAAAACTTTTATTAAATCTGACTGTATGATCTGATTTAATTACCTTGTAAGGTACCCCACGATAACATGTGTTGTGATTTGACACTATATAAATAAATTGAATAGAATTTTCCAGTGAATATACTCCCTGGCTTTTTTGAAAATTATTACCCAATACAAACATCATACAACATTTTTTTTGATATAGGAATTGTTTTAAGGCAGCACCAATATCTTGGAGAATTTCAGACTAACCTTTAGGAACGTCTACTCTGACGATTTCAGTGGAGATGAAAACCAAGGCTTAAGCTCAGAGGGGATCGAGCGTTTTCTGTTGCAGCTCCAAAACTTTGGAATGGATTGCCGCTGTAAATTAGACAGGCCACCTCTCTGTCTTATTTTAAAACTCTTCTTAAAACCCACCTCTTTTCCTTGGCTTTTGACACCATGTAGAGTGTTGATTTTATGTATACACGTGTTGATTTTATGTATACACATGCATATTTTTATCCTGTGCGGGCAGAGCTTTTATTTTTTTATTTCATTTACTTTTATTTATTTTATCTTTTTCTGCAGCACTTTGAAAACCTTGTGTTTATTGAAATCGTGCTATATAAATAAAGTGGATTGGATACCGACTATAGGGATGAAAATCTCTTGACTAAAACTATATGATGCTTAAACCTTTTTTTCACAGAAGCTCATTTCAAATCTCCTGACATCACCTTTTAAACGCACCAACATTGTGAATCAATGTCAGAAAATAACTGTGAATACAAGCATCACAAACATGCTGAATAACACTCCAGGCTTCCTAAGTTATTGGCTAATGAAAACCATTAACATGCCATTCATAATTTCCTTTTATTACACAAGTTACACATCTCTTCTAGAATCTATAGCCGTTAAGGAAGGTCAGTTTCTGAATCTGCAACTAAATGGCTTCTTTTCAAAAAATGTTACTGTTATCCACCATATCCCATGAATTGTTAATGAAAGCACCAATTATATGAGTCTCGCTGACAAACCGCTGCATAATTACCAGTGAAAGGCCCTTCGTCTTTCTGACCCCCCCCCCCCCCCCCCCCCCCCCCCCCCCGAACGCAGGGCGAATCAGTCAATTACCCAACTGAGGGTCATGCATATTCATATACAAATCTGATTCCTTTACTGGCAAAACATTTGCTGCAAAAGCCCTACAATTAACTGAACAATACACAGGAGAGAAGAAAATCCCACTCTGTTTCCTCTGTGCAGTTTTTTTTAATGAATTTAGAAGTTCTTATTTGCATAAAGGCAAACACTAGACAGGAAAGCTGCAGTAATGAAACCAATTCATGAGTTTTTTTCTCTTCTTTCCTTAAATAAGGTTTAGGTTTCTAGGATGAGTGCTCGGTGCTGACCTGTCGAGGGGAACAGGGGCCGTGCTAGGTCATGAGGATACGGGAACCCTGGGAAGACTCCTGGGGCCGGAGGTCGGCTGAACAGGTCCAGCTTCCCATTCATGTCCAGTTTGTGTGGGTCGAGCTGCATTTGCTGAAATTCAAAGAGCCAGAAACAATGACGCTCAGACAAAGAATAGCTTCAAGCATTTTCCGGCGACACAGTAAACAGCATTAGTTTTCAGCTGCAATAACAGAGAGAAAGAGATCTGTTGAAGCCTCAAACACAAACAACGGCTACATGTCTCCACTTCTGGGCAGCTCTGTCACAACATCTATGTAAGCTGATTAGAAACACTAAATCCTTGATGACAAGGGTCCATGGCCCAAGAAGGACTGACACCATATGTCCAATAGCATTAGCAGAGAATCCCCATGGGCAGAACAGACTATCCTTCCCTTTCATGAAGAATTTCCACATTGACTACCCCAACTATTTGATTTATAGCAAGCAAATGTATGTATTAAACATTAGATTTTAAAGGATTCACATTTAATTTCTAAAGTATTTTCTTTTTTGTGCGTGCAGCATTTTTTTAGGCTTAGGCCAAACTCTGTTTGTATTGTCTTTATGCTTTAAAGTTGTTCTAATGAAATTAATGCATTGACTGGACATCTATCTCTCTACTAAAAATCTAATCTCACTTTCCACTGTTGCTATGGACTGACAGCTGGCAGAAACAGAGATGTTTAAAAATATTTCCAGTTGCAAAACAATACAAAAACTTAAGAAATACTCAGTCATAGTATGGATATTAAGGGAGTTATTTCACAAATCTTAACCTTCTGTTTGTAAACTACTGTACATGTACCTTGTCTGTTTAACAGCTAGCAGTAGGGGTGGCTATCTGAGCAGATAGCCTGACTAATTAACCAGCAAATATAAGACTGTAATAAGCAATTAAAAAACAATTGTGTTCAATAAATAAAAATGGTTTATTCTTTATAAATGTTACACTTTACTATTAATTTATTACTGTTTTATTAACTTAAATGTGACACAATTTACACATTTTAATAGGAATCATAATCCATTTATTTTCTAATATGATTTAGCTCCTGTAGTTAACCCTTTAAAGCCTGATCCAAGAATAAAACAAAACAGAAAATTACTTTTTTTTGTTTTGAATTCCTTATTTGCCCTTTTAACAAAATATGTAAAAAGAAAAAACAGAAATACATTTTTGATATTAATAATTTATTACTATGCGATAAGTCAAGATTATTTTTTGTGTAGTCTTCTACTGGCTTCTACAGGTATATCTGATTGTGTACAATAGGATTTTGAGCAAAGTTCTTACCATTAAATTATGCAAAAGGTGTCAGATGCAAAACATTTCAGAAACCGTATGTATCAAATACGATACATTTGGCATTATAGGGTTAATTTTGGTTCACATCTTTCTGCTCCAATCCAGTGAGTTTTTTGCATTTTTACTCCTCGTATAGCAGCTCTGCCAAGTCTTTTCAAATCAGCAGCATGTTTGTTGATGATTTAACAATAGCACAGTAGGCTGTGATCTTTAGTTGGTGATTATTTAACAATCACTATTACGCGTCTGGTTTGACATGCAATAAATTTCCTGGAAGACAGAATAGTCCATCTCACGCACCTTCATTTTCTGCTGGTGGTGGTAGATCTGCCATGCAATCTGGACATGTACTGCACACCACTTGCCAGGTTTCTAAAAGATTTAAAGAGAAACTACAGTCAGCCTCCTGGCTTTTTTATTTAACGAGCTAAAAATGAATTCTGGCATTAGAAATTTCTGGCCAGACAACAAAGCGGAAATCTGAAATTTTAACCAGCCAACCAATTTGGAAATATGGATCCCCTGACTTGAACCCAGTACAGACCTTATTTTAACCACAATCCTCCAAAGCCCAGAATCTGCTCGACTGGGACTTCTAAATGAGACTTTGTGGCCTGGCCAGAGAAACAATATTTTAGAGAGAAATGCACCAAGGTATTCACTTACCCTAACAGATGTCCTGAATGGATCACTCATCTGTATGGACAACAGAGGATCATTTATAACAGCAATTCAGACAAATGTCAAACTTTTAAATATAAAAACATGTTTTTAGATAGAATTTGAATTCTAAGACATGGATTGATCTGCCTTTCTTTCTTTTTTTTATTCTGTCTGTGTAAACATAGTTAATAGCTTTTTACTGTGACTAACTTTCTTTTAAAGAGGAGTTTTCCCTTCGACTGTCACTAGCTGCAAGCTCAGTATGAGGGATTGCTGCAAAACAACACAATATCTGTCCGCTGTCTTTACTTCCTCCTCTAACAGTGAATAATTGGATGCAATCTACTGGTTTTCCTTAGGATATTTTAACCAATCCATCTGGATGATTTGATTGGATTGACTCTGTAAACCGCCTAGAGACGACACGTGTTGCGATTTGGCACTAGATAAATAAACTGAATTGAATTGAACGGATGAATGTCTTATGTGTGGAGCTTTTACCAGAAGCAGCATGATGGAGATGCTATCGGCTTATGCTTACCCGCGGATCCTTCTGCAGAAGTGTGTGAGGAACGGCTCCAGGACGGGCCGCTACGTCAATGGGATTAGAAGCCTGACGGAGACGACAGGAAAGATACTTGGTGAAATGAGACAGAACTAGAGTCTAAGAACAAGGTTTTAACATCTTTATAAAGTTTGGTTGTGATTTCTGCGTTTCGTTATGTGAATTCCTACATTTTTGTTTATATCAGGAAGTGTACCATTTTTTTGTTTAACTTCTTACTCTGCATGTTAATACTTAATGATATAGTGAGTGATCTCCTCTCTGGTGTTTTTTCACCGCTTCTGCTTTTTTCTTGTAGGTATATTTCAGATTTTTTGGGGGTTGCTTGGGTATTCTTGATTTTTAAAGTCAAGCATTTTTTAGTTTGACTCGATATGCAAGGACAAATTGCAGAAAATTACTGCTCCATGTAGATGACCCAAAGTTAGCTTTGAGTCATCGTTAAGCACTGCTGAAGCATCTGAAAATAAAGTTAGATGAAACACAGATGCAACAAGTGCTATGTGAAGATAACTGTATTTTATAAGAGAGTATATGAGCTGCTCATCCAGGCTACGAAAACTGAAAAACAAAAATTGATGGCTGTTGGTCTTTCTGACCTTTTCCTACATCTGCTGCTAATATAAATACCTAATGCTGGCTTTAGTTAAGTAATTTATGTGTTTTTTCTTGTCTTTGCTAGACTTAAATCTTTGACCTCCGTTCTTCTATCCTTCATTGGTCCATGTAAAGCATCTTCTCAAACAAAAAATCTCCTTTTTCCAGAAAGACTTGGCCATGCATCAGAAATGTAAATTTTTTCCAATGCTTTACATAATGTAAATAAGGCACTATTTTACTCACATCCTTACTTGGGAAAGTTCATGTGAGGATTCAATGACTTTGGCACAAGTTGTGACAATTAAATTCTTAAAAAAAAACAAAAAAACGCTTTCTGATCCTCTATCTTTTTTTTTTCCTGGATAAATATCAGACCTTACTCAGTAACACTAAAACTCTCTAATCCGTAATTACTGCTACCATATAGCTGATGTTGATGTAAACCAAGAAAGCCTAAGCTCATCTCCAGGAATACTTAGCAGGGGCTTTGCTTAAGAGCCTTCCTAGGAGCATCTGGAGCGATCTTCGACAGAAGGGTCTCTTAGAGCCGGAGCCCACTGGGAATAGAGCCAGCAGATTTAGACCAGCTTTGATTGGTGTCTTACTGCAGGTCACAGCCTTTGAGTGCATGTCTGACAGACTCCCTCACTTTGGGCTGTCCTTTCTTTGCGTAGGGCTGAATTTTAATGTTGGTTCATGTTTAGTCGGATACATTTTCTCTAATAAAGGATTTACATTTAACTAAATCAAAACATTACTCTGGTTCTCCAGTATATAAGCCAATGCTTTAAGCTTCACATCCATAATTAAAACTGTTATTTTTTTTAGACACAAACAAAGTAGTTGTTAAATTGCCCTGTGTTCTAACAGAGAGGATTAAAATAGATGTTTTACTGGCCTGGTTAACAACAAAAGAACACATTACTTTTAATAGCAGGGAATTTGGTTGTTAGTTCTAAAAGAAATGTTGACAAATACAGTGTGAATGATTTCTTAGAAATGTGAGAAAAATGCAACTAGCTGCTGAAAACTCTAAATCTGATTTAAAGTTCCCACTAAGCTCTAAACTGGAAGACTATTTTACAGTTTTAAATAAAACGGGACTTCATTTGATCGTACATAACTTTTACTGATAAATGTTAGAGAGGATTTTACCTGAACTGGATTCATTTAATAGAAAAAACACAATTTAAAATGTCTAGTTAATATCTAGTTTGTGAACACACACAACAAAAGCAACAAAAAACATTTCCATTCTTTTAATCCTTCCATTTCTAACAGGGTTCTTGCCCGCATATGTCAGTGAAGCGGGGTTCTATACGATTGCTATGCAATTCAGCTAACTATGCTAATTTTCTTATAAGCGCATCAGCCCTTTGACTTACATCTGGGCTCCCCTCCCTCAGGGTTCTGTCCAGCACATTTCAGCACTAACGCTTGCTACACTCAAAGTTGTCGAAATCATACAGAATTTAGATCAACTTTTAATAAGTGCAATGTCCTTATTTGGACATAGATGTTAGAAAAGTGCTGAACAAATGTGGAATCTGCGCTCTGCAGACTCCATCATCAACTCATCCTGAGCGCTTGGATGCAGGTGGAGACTTGCACAGAGAGATCAGGGCTCTCTGAGTCAATGTGACTAGCCCAATTTACACTAACCTCTTGGAACCGCGTCGAGAGCGTTCAGAGTCACAGAGATAACTGTTAAGTATAAACGGAAAGCAACTGAACACAACCGAACTGCACTAAATCTAGAACCAGTTCATCAGCAGGACTCAGTACGGTTCAGTTGTGGCTCATTTCTCTGATAACAAAGAGCGCATGAGCAGACCGTGTCATCTCCCATTTACAGTCAGATGACTTATTTCATACCTTCTTCCTGCGTGTCTGGCTTTGTAATTCACAAATCTCTTCACCTGTTCAAAACATGAACTTCCTCTTAGCTTATTAATAATGAATGGCATCAAAAGAGCGTGGTGTGAGCTGGGATGATGCAGAGACTGAGGCTCTCATTGAAATTTGGGTAGAGGATGCTCTCCAGGCACATAAGTTCCTGAATGCTGTGGGCGCCGCCATTTTTGTTTGCTTAATTCCCCTATGAGAGCTGTAGGAGGCGAGGAACTGTGCTAGTGCGATGTGTAAATAGTTGTAAGGAAACAAGCTCAGCACGGTTAACTGATCAAAGCTCGGTCCGAACTCTGAGGTAGTGTAAATGGGGCAATAGTTTGCTATGCTCAGAAAAGAAATCCTGGATAGAACCCTGAAACTAAAATAAAAAAACGCAGCATATGAACTTGTCAGATCTCAACAGCAAAACTCTTCACTTATAACAGACTGAACAGCTTCTATTTCATGAAAGAATTAATTCTATTCATGGACAAATTAAAGCAGATTTTGTATATTTCAAACATGTATCTCAATCCTATTAATTAGAACCTAATATTGGCCTTTTCTGAGAAGCTAAATGTAGCTTTAGACCTGTATAATGTGTGAAAGATGACTTTCTTTATCCACCTGCAGTTATTTTCAGAGCTATAAGAGTGTAGTTTGTTCCGTTTTGCTGTCGAAAAACAAACAAAAAAACTGTATCCTTATCAGCCAGCAGCTGGTTTATCTTCAATAATGATGACTGTCTGTGTTTTATCCAATAAGTATTATTTCATAGGCCAGTCAACACAAATATTACTTCATACATTATGAATCGCTGATTCTAGCTAATGAGATTTCCTTAAAAGTTTCTAATTTTGGATGTGTGTGTCTTTGTGCACATGCTTCCTTCTTTTCTCAGCCTGTTAGCAGCTCGTAGGTGGGGATATGGGTCTGACCTTAGGCTGGAAGGCTCCCTGCAGCGAGCTGAAGGGTCCTGAGTGTGGGAGCAGCGGGGGCATGCCTGGCATGGTTGGGGGGTAGGAGGGGAAGAACTGAGGAGAACAGAAGAGGAAGGGAAACAAAGATATGTCAAAAAAAAACATTAAATCATAGAGGACTGAAGCATGAGCAGGCATAAAGCCAAGGCCACAATAAACGCCCTCACAGGCAACATTCAAATATGCCAAATATTTGATTTGCCAAAATGCAAAGCGCATATTTACACGAGAATGAGAGAAGGAACTCACGTTTGAATGTCTGATGAACGGATTGTCCAGTTTGGGGGTGTATTTGTCGAACTGTTGGAGAAAAGAAAAGAAAAAATCAGCAAACCCAACGGCTCATACAGAAATCTTTTACAAGACGACAGATACAGTGAAAAACAGGCACTGTCAGGTAGATCTTTCATAAAACTGGTCATAAGCCCTGAGGTAAAGCAGCTGGCCTGCACTGGTCATGGGTTTCTTTAAACAGAGCGACTGAGCATGAAGGTAATAATACAGCCCCTTCAGAGGACGGATGGGAAGAAAACTTCCACATGATTTTCCAATTAAAAACACAGACATCGGGTGTGGCAGCCTGTCGTAAGGTAAAAATCATGTCAAAACTACGCACCAGTGACAAAGACAGAAAGGCTTTTTCCAGCGTTAGGAAAAGCACATCTCAAATTAAATTTGGTTAAAAAGCAGGTCTGTTCACAGCATCATGAACGGATTATATGAGCAGCTAGGGTCTCATTTGACTGAAGCTAAATGGAGCCATTTGCTTTGGTTAGGAGTCAATTTAGGACAGATCAGCATGTAACTGACAACGATCACAGAAGACGTGAAGTGAAGAAACCTTTCAGCTAGAATTTGCCTCATAAAAAAGAAATCTGTGGTTATACTGGGAAAATGTTTCCAATCATTTCCTGAACACACGTGAAGCTGAGGGAAGACATGAATGAGAACATTGTGGGCATGTTTATACCCTGACACTGCTCTTCTATTTCAAATGCTGCTCATTACAGGGAAGAGTAACTTCACTGCCTTCAATAAACATAAAAACCATTTGCAGGAACTTTTTTTTAGAGTGTTTTTGTTGGCATATGGTTGCATAAAAAAACAGTGAAATTGATAAGATAAAGCTGCTCAGCTGCTTCCAATCTTGGGTCAGGAGTCCATCGGTGTCACATCTGCACCTAGAGTCGTACCAGTGGGAACTATAGTTGTGTCTGTAGGGGTCGACTGAGGGGAAAATCCCATCCAGCTTATTAAACAGCTACTCTGCATTTCTGAGGGTGCAGCTTGTTTAATGTTTGACACTGAGAAGAAGGCCGGACGCTTTATGGCCTTGTAAAAAGAGAAAAAAAAAGGAAAACACAAAGTCTGGTCTTTATAATTTATGGTAGCTGTCACAGATTTATGGCAAACATCTTTGCCTAATTAAACCTTTATACTTCCATCTGATAACAATTCGGGATACTCCTTGTTCAAAGGCATGGCAGGGGGAAAGGCATGGTCAGTCTCTGCTACCATTTGGCAAGCCAGCTGCTCAAGGGCGTCAAGCAATAAACAAACCTACAGTGTTCATAATATCATATATTACCAGCATTAGGCTGCAAAGTTTAATTTAAAAACATAAAAAAATTAAGAGAAAGAGCAAAAAGAGGAAATTCAATTTATGCTTTTCACAGAAAAAAAAAAAAAACAGCATCATCATCATCATCAATCTTCTTTCTCCAAGAAAATAAAACATTATTTCTCAGTAAAGTTAGAAAAAAGCAACAGCAGGTGACAAATAACGTAATTTCCATTTGAAATAAGACAAAAGAGGGATGGGAAAAAGAGCTTTAGGAAATATATATATATACATATAAAAAGCTGGAATTAGTGAAATTGCTGCTTTCATCTTCAAAGGATCGACTGTGAACTGTACATAATTCCAAACATGTCAGGAATGAACAGCAGACCAGATAACAAAATGTGTGTTGGCTCAAAAACCTGCAGCATGCCTTCAGTAGTTATCCCAGTCTGCAGCGTAAACACCAGCACTTTGATTTCTAATGTACAGGATGGGAATAATCTTTGTAAGAGGCCTTAATGGGACCACAGGCTCTTAATCAGAAGGTCATGGAGTGATGGATTACATCTATTAAACTAATGCCGAAAAGCTACAAACAGGGACCCATCTGAGAAAGCCTGCCGGAGATCGGTGTGCATTGGAGATGATGAATGAATCGTTATAATCTGAGAGCTGCCAGAGTTGTAACCCGCCGGCCCCCACCTCTCTCTGAATTGATGGCAGTGGAGGCAAGGAAGCAATTAGAAAAGTTATCAAAACAGTTTCGCAGTGATGTCATCAACCTTTATCTGCAATGAAGTCATCAGAATGAGAGAGAAGCTTTGAATTGCAATCTAAAGACAAACACACATACATTAGGTAAAAAAAAAAAGAAAGAAAAGCACCCTGCATGGATGTGTGTAGTCTGCAGGAAGGCCTCCGCGCACACACACACACACACACAGATGTTTAACGGGGCCTTTGTTGCTCTTTGTGAAAACTTCCATATGCGAGCGATTGAGGAAAAAACAAAAAAAGCCTTTAGGCGAATCTGCTGTTTGATCATGTGCCAAATCTAAGAGTAAGTTGTGGGGGAAGATGAGTATTTAAATGAAATTATTCTCTGAGTCATCATGGTTGTTGGGGTGTGCCCAAAGTTGGATAAAGTTGCTCAGGACTGTTTTGTTGGGGCTTTAACAACCAAACCATGTAAGAAAGAGGGATAAATAAAGGGGATGCTCCAGGAGGATATTTTAAAGAAACAGTTTGTAGTTTATAAAGCTTTTGGAGATAAACTGTAGATTTAATTTGAGGAAAAACACATAAAAAAGAAAAGGAGCGCACTAAATAGGAAGATTGGAGGGGTGACAGGTGAGTCGGTGGGAAGTAACGGGAGCTTTTCTTGTTACTTATCCTCACATTTCTGGCTTGGGTACGCACCATGGGGGGTGCGGTGGGCGGGGTGAGGATGGCGGCCGGGGGCAGACTGGCGGGGAAGGGCGTGAAGGTGTGCTGATGGGTGTGTTGGTGCTGGTGCATGTGCTGGTGTTGGTGAAACTCGGCCCTCAGGAGCGACACGGGGGCCAGCGGCGAAGCGGACGGCCCCCGGCCCCGCTCCGAACTCTGAACCAGGAAGCGGTTGTTCAGCTCCTGCCTCAGGAGGTCATGCTCTGTAAGAAAGGAGAGCGAGGAAAACCAAAAAAAAAAAAAAAAGGAAAGAAAGAAAAATAAAATAAAAAGGAAAGAAAAAAAAGGACGGGGGAGGGGAAGGAAAGGGGGACACAAGAAAAAAAAGGCACGAGCGCCCAGTCAGTCTCCACAACAAGGGTAAGAAAGAGAATAGTCACCTGGCATTCTCTGTTTCTCCAGCTCATGCTGTGAGGGTTTTCTACGTGGGGACTCATTGGTGGTGGTAAGAGAGTTGCCTGTGACAATGTGCCAATCAGAATCCCCGAATGAGGCTGGCAATACATGATTGGTTGGTTGAATGATATCAACAGGCTGGTATCTAAAGACAAGAAAGAACCGAGAGTCATCCCAGCAGAAAACACACACTTTTGGCCTCTATGAGATCATAAAAGCACAAATGGCATCTTTCTTTTAACTGCAAAAGTATTCAACCCCCTCATATGTTATTTTTTTTTTTTTTCACATTTTGTCACATTAAAACCTTTTACTGGAATATTATGTCAGTAATAGAATATTTATGAAGTGGAAACAAAGGGATTTATTTATTTTTATAAAAACAAATAATACAAATCAGTGGTGTTCGTTCTTTTCTCCGGTTCCCCTCAATAAAGCTGCACTATAAAGGTCCCAGAGGCTCATTTAATCAGGAAAAGCAGCCATTTAGGTCTGGATGTGAAATATAAGTCATCTACTCTACAAAGCTGGCTAGAATGAAACCAATTTTAAAAGAAACCTGGGATAAATTTGCAGTTTGCCATACAAGAAGAATGATGAAGAAGCTGTTTTGGTCAATTGACACCAACATTAAATCTTAAAGTAAACATGAAAACCACAACGTGTGGCGATGTTCTGTCAGATCGGCAGATTTGCATTCATCCCTTTAGTTTTGTACGGAAAATACCATTCAAACTACCTAAACGGGAGTGTATACCTTTAGTCATGTACAATAATAAAAACAAATTGAATTTCAGATCACCATATGCTTAAAAAAACACCAAAAAGTAAGTAAATAGTTTTTTTGTGCATGACTAAAGGGACACACGACCGTTGAGGTAGTTCAAATGTATTTTTCGTACAAAACTAAAGAGATAAACGGGAATAAACTAAAGGGATAAATGGGTTTTGACTATGGTTATGCTAATCTGACAGATAAAAACGCTGCACATCAAAATGCTCCCATTTGGAAACATGGTGGTGGCAGCATCATGCTGTTCTCCACAGAGAAGCTAGAAACGCACACCAAAATTATTATTATTTTTTTTAGATTTCCTCTTTAAACCACTGTGTTCGATTTCCTTCCACTTTAAAATTCTACATTAAAATCTGAGGTGGTACTGTGACAAAAAGTGAAAAACTTCAAAGGGTGTGAATACTTTTGCATGGTATCTTTCTTTTTTTCGGAGACACCCATCATCACTGGAGACACTATTTCCTTTGTCACATATTTAAGCCTCATTTGCCTGTTTAGGAGTTTTTCTTTGAAAGGATTGAGTGTTTGGAGGCTTCAAATCAAGCAGCTCTGTTAGGAATCTGAGTCTGATCCATATTTTACATTAAAGCTGAGGTTTCAAAGGTCTCCAGCTGGGATGGCTGTCCAGTTCTGAGCTAACATTTGATAATAACTTTATAAAGTTCTCCAACAGTAACCTTTTGAAACTTCTTTAAATGCAAAAAGGCCCATAAATGCTAATAAAATGCATGTTTTATTCCCCAAAAAGGATTCCTGTTTATCCTGGAATCTCAGAGGTTATTATGTGGGATCTTTACTGTTTAGCAGTAAAGATAGCGGCTAACATTTAGGATACATAACTAAACGCATTACTATCTACTAGAGTTTCTGTGTTTTACTAACTTTAAAATATCACTTTCAAAATATATTCATAAAATGTTTATTTTCCTATTCATCCTGTGAGGACTGTGGGAAACCAATTAAAAGTACTGAAAGCCATGTTTTCATCACAAGGTAAACCAAAACCAGAGTATGCTCCCGATAAATACCAGAGGCCATGAGTGGGGCCTTGTACGCTGAAGAAATAGCCTCTTTGTATAAACTCAGTGATGGAGAGATAAACAGTAGGTTTAGGTACATTTAGCTACTTTAAAACATCCACAGAAATAATTTCTGAAGAAAAAATTAAATAAACAAGCACTTACCTGAGAAGTCCATAAAACTTTAGTTTAGTTTGTTTTCAGCCAAATAAAACATACCTATTCATTGTCGTCGGAAGCCGTATAGCATGTGCAGACATGCTGGTCTTCCATATGTGTTTTCTTACTGTTATTACTGTCATACAGGCAGATTAACACAAATATGTCTTTATTTAATAGTGGCTACTAAAGAACTGCAACTTTCACACAGTAAAAGTAACATTAGGACAGAATATAAACACGGCCCTGCAAAATGATTAACTAGGGCTGCAACTAACAATTAATTTTAGAATATATTAATCTGTTTGATTATTTTTTTTTCGATTAATTGATTAATAATCAGATAGAAAAAGGTTCCTTAAAGAAACTTTTTACAAAATTAAACCAGGTGAACTTAAAACTTTTCCACTGAGGAGTTCTGGATAGAGTATATTAACAAACAAAATTTTATCTTAAAAGAAAAATGTTTATATATATATATATATATACATTTTTTTTTTTTTTTTACAATTTTGGTATAATTACTGCTCGAAGTTGGTCACTCTGTCAGCTAAAAGTATGTTTAAGAGTCTCTATACACCAATTAACCATTAATCGATTAATAAATTAGTTGAAGATTATTTCAATGATCCATTAATCTGATTAATTCATCATTCCTAAACAGAACTTAAACTCTTTTTGTTATTCAATCACAAACCTCAGTGTATTTCTTATGATTTTATGTGATAGATTAACACATAGGGGAATGGAAATTATGTTTAAGATTACAACAGAAAATATTAAAAGTACTCAGGCCGTCTTAATGAAAATATTGTTATTTTTTTTCAGTTCCAGCTGCAGGTAATTTGGATTATCCTTTAACAAGGTTAGGATATCTAGAAATGGGATGAATGGCATCACTGAAATCAAGCCATTGGTGTTCTGGTTTTATGATTAGAGTCGTTTTCCTTCTAGTAGGAGAGAAACTCTAAAGCTCTTTAATATGTTTTAGTTTGTGATCCATTCATTTTCCCATGCCACTACTTAGCTACCCAATATCTTGATGCTGCTGATATTTATCCTTTCTCTAAGTTATTTTCTAATCTTGTTTTGTACAATTACTAACAAAATATATTTTAATATGTGGTTGTAACATGATTGTTACTATTATAAATAGTTTTTATATGAATAAATAAGTTAAATGAAAGTATCTGTCAATCTAGGATTTTGCTGCAATCATATAATTTTTATCAAAACATCTAAGAAGAAAGCTGTGGAGCTTCCATCAGGCATAGGGGGTGAGAATCTTTACCTGGGTAGGGGGTGCCAGCAGGGTGTCCAGGCACCACTAAACTGTTGGTTGGTAAGGTTGGCGGTGGCGGTAGAGTAGCTGGGGTTGCAAACATGGCCGAATGGCGATGTGCTGGACTCCGTAGGGAGGAATAGTGCGAGGTAGATAGGTTTGCTATGGACAGAGGCAAGGCAGGCGCTGAGGATGGGAGTCCACTGAGGTGGTGGTGAGGGGATGGGGGCAAGTGCTGCTTGGCCAGACCCACTGGACTGCTGCGGTGGCTACACATTTATCAGGAGAAAAAAATAGTTTTTGATTGAGAAAATGATTGTTTACAACAATAATCCATCAGAATGCATTCTTTCTATAAGCAGCATAGAAGTTTCCATTTTGTTAAAATCATTTGATCTATGGAGAAAATTCTGTTTGATTATTATTGCAGACAAAGAAGTTCCATCCATTCATTTTCTGTCACGCTTATCCCTGCTGGGGGCACGAGGGCTGCTGGTGCCCATCATCAGCTGTCAATGGGTTAGAGACGGAGTCCAACCTAGACAGTCTATTGCAGGGCAACACGGAGACAAACAGGACTAACAACCATTCACACACACTCACATCTAGCCAATTAACCTAACAGTCATGTTTTTGCAATGTGGGAGGAAACCGGAGTACCCGGAGAGAACCCACTTATGCTCAGGGAGAACATGTAGAAAAGGTCCGGGCGCCAGGAATCAAATCCTGAACCTTCTAGCTGCAAGGCAGCAGTGCTACCCACTGTTACACTGAGAAGCCCTATGTTTTGATATAAAAAAATTAGAAATAAAATGCCATTCTGAAACAACTTCTTAATAAAAAAAAAGGGTTCAAGAGTATATTTGCTGTTTTCTAAAATTTAATTTCTTCCCATTTTTTCTTTTTTTTTGAGTTTTTGCGGCATTAGTGGCTCGTTTTTCTAACAGTAGAAAAAAAACATGCGGCAAAGGACCACAGGCTGGATTCAAACCGAGGTCAGTCAAGTCAAGGACTAAGGCCTCTGTACACGCGCTAAACACTGTGCCACCTGCAAACCCTCCAGTTTTGTTGGATTTTTTTTCAAAGTATTTTTCTTTCTTTTTGTCTTTCTCAATTTGAGTTGTATCAATTATATATATTTTTAAAATTGTGTTTAACAGATCCCTCTATCTTCCCTTGTTGGGGCGGGTGGGCTTTCCTTCGAAATTGCTCCTCTTTCAGACGCATTCTATCGGCCTGCATGGACGTTAGCAACATTTCTACTGGATTAGAGCGAGTGTTTGAGGTTGTTAACTGTAAAACACAGGTTCTAATTCGTAAAGCACAATTACATTTTTGATTAAGTTTACCAAAGCCTCATTTATAAATCATATTCTTTGCTCACAACAATAATGGAACAAAATTCGCTCCATAGTTTTCCAGAACATCGGATGTTTTTTGAGCCAAAGCTGAGGCTGTGTTCTGAGTGGAGATGGTGCAATAGGTTAGTAATATCTCTAGCATGCTCTCTGCAGTTCAACTCAATAAAAAAACAGCCAAACTGACAGCTGGTTCTGTCATCTGTTGAGGCTTAAAGGAAAGCATGAGGAGAATCTGTAGACTGTAGAGTTCAGAGGTGCATGTTGGATGAATTTCTATTAGTTCAAACAAACTAATTTGGTCGCAAACACTTTTAGGATCGAGATGTACCGTATTTTCACGACTATAAGGCGCACTTAAACGTCTTTTTTTTCCCTCAAAATGTGCGGTGCGCCCTATGGTGCGGTGCGCCCTATGTGTGTTGTAACTGCGACTTTTGAGACCACCTCATTGAGGAGATGATGAAAGAGTGGCTGAATGTAAGGAGACCAGGTGTTTTTTTTTTCCACCCCTCACCATCGCTGTTAATATGTAACTCCATGCGTGCCCATCTCACAGCTGATGTGAAAAACATGGGGAAACAAATTAACGCTGCGCTCCCTGTTAAACCGCTCGACATCGGTGTGAACCGGACCCAGCAGGTGCAGCAGAAGCAGCGAGTTTACATGCAAAGTCAATGGTTGACGCGCGTATAGGTGCAGCAAAAGGTCCCGCAGCACGTTTTGGTGCAGCACGTCGGGAGCGTTTAAGCATCTGAAGCGCCGCCAACGCGCTGCTGCTGCTCGAGATGGAAAAATTGAAGTTTTGCTGCTGGACGCGCCGCATCAACCAATCAGAGAAGCAGATCTGGGAGCTGACAGCGAGACAGACACAGCGCTCTGATGACATATGATATTAAATGAAAAAGGCTGGGTGGATGCGTGGCTGAGGCAGGTGTATCTGAGAAGACTAGGTGGTTTTTTCCACGCATCACCATTGCTGCGTGCCCATCTCACAGCCGATGTGAAAAAAAGGTGAATCAAATGAACGCTGTGCTCGCCGTTATCCCGGGGGTTCAAAGTAAGGCTGCGAGCGGCGTGGCAGCGATGGATGACAGACGGAGACCACAGTTTCAGGATAAGTGGAAGGCAGCGCCGGGCAAGTTACGCCACAGTTTGCGGATGGATTGTAGATGCTTGGACTAACGTGTCTGCTGGCTCTGTTGTTCAAGCTTTTGCAAAAGCCGGCATCATTTCTGAGGAGCTGCGCTGCACGGAAAGTGACTGACAGCGAAGAAGGGGAAATTGGCATGTCTGATTTAGCGCAGCTGTTTTATTCAGAAACAGAGGATGATGACTTTGATGGGTTTGATTAATACTTTGTAATAAATACATGAATAAAGCACAATCATACTCAGTTTTGCTCCCGCTCTATTTTTCTCCCTGAAAACTTAATTCAACAGCAGCCTCTGGGCGGGTCTCCTCCTCTTCAGCGCGGTGGCTGGCAGGTGTTTTTTCATCTAAATAATCTAAATCTTGCAGCTATATTTGCTGTGATCAGTGTGAATAAAGTAGTTTTAATATGTTTTTAAGTGAGAAAGTCCACCTGAAAACTTCATAATTGCAGTCAGTTCATCCAGATTATCTATTTCTGTCGGAGGCGCTCAGACCCCCACATACCAGCGGTGCACCGACAGTAAATCCCTTCAACAGCAGCCTCACAGCGGCTGCTGGCAGGTGTTTTTCATCTAAATAATTTAAACTGCAGGCACCAGGATACCGGCAATAAAAGCGAACATATTCCGTCGGCAGGTTTCAGGATTTTAAGTTAATTTAGGAGTGATCACAGCGCTGTGTCATCTGTGATGTGTCTGTCTCACGGCCAGCTGCCAGGTTTGATTAATACTTTGTAATAAATACATGAATAAAGCACAGTCATACTCAGTTTTGCCCCCGCTGTATTTTTAAATACGCAGTAGAGGTATTTAAAGGTAGTAGAGGACATGTACCGGTATATAAAAAACGCGCCCTATAGTCCGGTGCGCCTTATGTGTGTGTTAAATACAGTAATGGCACACATAACTGAGAGTGCGCCTTTTAGTCCGGTGCGCCTTATGGTCGTGAAAATACGGTAGTCTGCAACATCTTTACCAGTGAATAACAATATATAGCAGCTAAATATATCCCAGCTGCCGTTTACATCTAATACAGCATTTATTTCATTACTCCTTATCCTCAGTCCTAATTTTAACAGTTGGACCAGAGCTTCCAGTTACCTGATGTCGTGGAGGCTGTTGTACTGCAGAGGGTGATGCACCTGATGGCTGATCAATGGCCGTGTGTGGTGCTGAAGAACATGGGGGTCCTGGTGTGAGTGCAGGTGGGGAGGGTGAGGATGGGGTAGGGGCGGTGCCTTCAGTAGGGGCGGGGTTGGGACAGGGGCAGGAGGTTTCTGCTCCTTCTTAACACTGAGAGGGGGTGGGCTGGGAAGGCGTGACCCACGGGGCTCAGGGGGGGCTGCCGCCGCTGCGAGCGCAGGGGAGCCCGTCGGTGCCGAAGCCGGGGTGGGGCTAGGCACGGGCGGTGCGAAGGGCACCACAGTGTTGCTCTGCTCCTGGCTGCGCTGGAGTCCCGAGACTTTGGCCGAGCTACAAGTCTTAGACACGGAGCTCTCATTCACTGGCACACCTGAGAAAATAAAAAAATGCAACATTAACATTCAAATTCTACTCGACTGGTTTGAATTATTTTATGATGATTCACAAAATGGATCAAAATAAAAATACAAGCAGATAACATGTAAAATCAGAGTAATGATGCCATTATTTAAGCAGCAGTAACACAGTTAAACAACTGGTTTATACTCAGAAACCAGGTCGTCTGCGTGTGTGTCGCAGTTAACGTAAGTGTTTGCCCCGCCCCTTCCGCAGACACTCTGCTGCACCTCTCCAAAATTGTAGGTGACCGCAGACAGGAGGCCTCTGATTGGTCAAATCTACATCCGCTCTACATTATGCGTATTTCCTGTTTGGTACCTTACTGGCTTTTTTGATTGTATGACCGCCATTGTGGAAAACGACTGGTGAAGATGGATCAGCTAGAAGAGCGAGGTGCGTGAGAACGCTGGGACCCTTTTCCCACCTGGATCCCACCTCTTTTTCACCCTCATGTCCCTCCGTTGTCGCACAAACATGCCCCTACTTCCTCACTACCTCGGCCGTATCTAGACCAACAGTTAGTTCCTGATTGTCCCTCTTGCGTTGTGGCGTGGACTAACATAGCGGAGAACACGCTTCAATATCGGGCATAAATTAAAAATATCTGCTGCAGGAGTAGATTAGGTTCAGCTCAGCTGTTTTATTTCTTGTTAACCCAAATGGCAAGTCAGCCAATCCAACATCAGTAACTAAATCTGCTTTATTAAAAATAATTGGGGAGGGGGTTGGAGGGTGGTTAGGCATCTTTAATGTTTGTTAGGGCCAAACAGGTTGACCATAATCATCCCTAGAGTAAAGCATATCAGTGGGCTTCAGTTATGAGGATGAAAAAACACAGACGTCAGATGGAAGTGGGCAGACGGATTCAAAGTGACAGAAAGGCGACGTGTTTAAATAACTCCTATGTGTTTGCTAATAGTGCTGCTGGTGTTAGCAGTGCTCTATCCTCCGAGCTGCTGGTTTTCCTCGAGGCGTTACTGCAGGGTCAGGACTTATTTATTAACTGCATCAATGGCCACCATTGGCTTTCTGCTAATTCAGCAGTATTGGCTGTAGATGGCGCCACGTCTGTTTATGTCAGCTCATCAATCCAATGCTTGGTTCTTTTTAGGCTAAAAAGGACTTTAAAACAATATCAGGAGGAATGCTTCAGGTACATTACTTTATTCTATCATAGTCATTAGAAGTGCAGAAGTATTTATTTTGTTTGTTTTGCAAAGCTAAAAAAATACCTCCCTTTCCTCCTCCGGTGTCCTCTCTGCAAGGTTCCCCTTGTTTCCTCTCCCTAGGTTCTATTAAGTGTTTAATCGGGTCATTTTCATGCTTGAGTATAATCAGATGATCCAATTTCTTCTCGTGATCGAGTCAGTATGAATAAATCACAGCTAATTAAAGTTAAATGTCAGCACCCATTCAGGGCTTTGCTGAGCACACAATCTGGCATGAAATAATTATGTTTCAATTGTGCTGTACAGAGAGATGGTGGCCTCGCCGTCACTGAGTCACTTCATCATGGGGCTGTTCATTCGGCTGATCCCTGGTACCCCACAGCCAACCTCTGAACCTGACCAAACTGTCTTTCAACATGTTTTTTGCACCCTTTCTTCCTAAACCTAAAGCAATTATTAAGTGCTTATGGTGAAGGAAATTGCCAAACAGAAATGCAGCATCCAGATGTATTCCAAACAGTCTTGCAGAACTAAATGGATGTGTTTAAAAGACAAAAACTAAAGAAGAGCAGCAAATTGGCAAATGTCTGCTTCTCTAACATTTAAATGAAGAGCAGAATGGACCTCAAGGAGTTCCAGGAAACAGTAATTTTACCACTTATGCTCTTGAGCAAATCAAAGCTGCGACTGGTTGAATTCATGCTAAGCACGGGGAGATCACATGAAGCAAACCATCAAAGACAGAAGGTATTCACATATGCGCACAGACAATGGAAAAAAACCCTGACGAGAACAGAACTAAAGCTACAGTAAGATGCTGTTTTAGTCAAAGGCTTACTCATGTTTCAATTACAAAAAGCTTCATGGCATTCTTGGAGGTTTAAAGAAAAAAAGAGAAAGAACAAAAAAGGCATGAGCTGCTGTCAGGCTGGACATAGAGCAGACTAATGGAATACCCAGTCCCCATTAACAGCCTGCTTAATCTTTCAAGGATCCTAACACCCATAAAAAGACCAATAAAAAGGCAAGGCAGAGCTTTTATTTTTTTTTTATTTGTTGAGTCCCCCCCCCCCTGCTTCCTCCCTGCATTTATGAGTGAACTGGGACCAACTAAGATGTCACAAATTTCAAATGAATCCCTGGGCCATGGGTGTATAACCCTCTCAATTTATAGAGGTTTGGGACTTGGATTAATCCATCATCCTGTTTTTTCTTTTGCTGCAAGCAAAAAAAAAAGCAGAATGCAAAAGAAAGACCCAAGGCAAAGACAGAGAGACAAGCATCGACACAGAAACCACAAATATCCAGTCGAAATGTCGCCGCCGGCTGATGTTGCCTTGGCAACCATTTCTCTCAGACACAATGCGAGGCGAATGATCCTGAAAAACGTCTCAGCACAACCACCAGGAGATGGAAGGGGGCTTCTCATATTAATGCTGCAGCGCCAGGGCCACAGCCAGCGCCAGGTTATCTTAATGATGATGCTAATGGGCTCTAATGGAGGCTGGGAGGTAACAGCGCAGACCCCTCATTAAAATAACTGCAAAAGCTCCAGCACTCACACATGGACATATGAATAGCACAAAAGATGGACACCAATGTTTCCACTGCTGGCGTATGCAGACACAAACAAATTAGGCCCAGACGTCTTCATTTTAGTGAAGCGCATCAGGAAAATGAAAAAAGACCCAATGTGCCAGAGAAAGCAAAACATTACATTATTCCCGATTGTTTATGTGCTTCAGAACCAATGATAGGCTCTACGGGGTTTCTATTGTCTAGGCATAAATACATGCGATTACTAGATATGCCTTTTAAAAGTCTGAAAGGAAAGGCCTTCATAGAACGGTGGATATTTAATAAAGACAATCAAAATAGCCATGGTGTTTCATGTTTCCAGCAGCAATGTATTGTGTATAAACTTGCATACCCCCTCCTGTTTCTTTAAAATGACAGAATTTAATCCATTTTCAATTTGTTTGACAACTGGCAGGTCAAGAACAAAGCAAAAAAAAAATTAATCAGATTTTTTTTTCACATTAGTAAAACAAATCAAATGTAATGATGCCAGTTTGTGCTGATGGATTGTTTACCTTTAAACCAGTGACACACATAGGGATGTAAAATAGTATTTAACATGCTCCTTTTGCAATTTATTACAAAAACTGGAGAGAAATAAATTGTCATGATGGTAAAAGCGTTAACAATACAAGCCGTAGTCATTAATAGCATGTAAAAAATAAACATGTGTCCTGTTTCCCAATAGAACTAGAGTGGGTGTGGTGTTGTTCAAAGCGAAAGATGAATTAAGACTAGCTTAAAACAAGAAGCTAAACATAATAATCAGAAATCTTATGAAAATGGTAAGGGTCAAACTTTACTTAGTAATACTAATCAATAAAAGCTCAGATATAGATTTTTATGCCTAAATTAAAGGTTTAATGTATTTTAGAACCACAAATCCCAGATAATGTTTTGGTTGTAAGACATTCTTGCATCAACAGCTGTCTTTTAAACTGTTTCACTTCTATTATGAAACATAAAAAAGTGGCATTAATGTCCTGTTTAATAGATTAAATATAATATCTCATAATTTAGTTTATAATTAAACAGATTTTCAGTTAAAACTTTAAGTTGAAGGTGTTATCTATTGAAAACGACTTCATAGAATTTAAAAATGAGTATATAAAATATTTTGTTAATTAATTCATTGTTTTATTCAGAAAGATCTAATATTTCTGAAAAAAAATATTTTTTTTTCTTGTTACATTCATTTTTGAAGGAAAACTATAACCCAAAAACATCAGGAGCTTTTTGTAATAAGTAAAAAGAGGTGAAACTGGCCCCAAAAAATGTCTGATCTTTGTTTCCTGTCACACGGTTCAGTCATTTCAGCATTGTCTCGTTTTTCTTTTTGTGAGTATATAAAACAAGCCTCGCCTGCTGAGCAAAACAGTAGGCTATCCACAGGAAGTCCTGTGTAACAAATGGCTAATGAGTGACTGTATAAAACAAAAAAAGGGGGTAAAATGATGTTGTGAAACCCTGCCTGCAAACCTGAGCAGATGGTGTTAGTGAGTCAGGGAGGCTGGAGGGCAGCCCAGTGGTAGGGAGTGGATCCCCTCTCCTGTTAGCTGGGTTAGGACACTGGGGGAGGGACAGGGACATCCCCAAGGGGGTGTTGGCAGGTCCACTCACCAGATGACATGTCATCCCTGTATTGATTTTTTTTTTAATGTCATTGTACCCATGGCTCTGCACTCTTTGGGGAAAATCAGCTTTACGCTAGGAGCACGTGCCGCGGTCCACAGCGAGGGGCCGGGGGTGGCAGACAGACGACAAGCTGAGCGGATTTGTTGGTTATGACTGATGTGTCCAGAGAGAAATCTGGGATGAAGACAGTGTCGCTACACAGCTGTTCTCACCTTCACTATCCTTCACTTTTGACCCTGTTTGTCCCAGTGGAACATCTGGAGAGCTAGCACTGATCTGATCCTAGAAGACCTTTGCACCAGATGGTCCAGCTATAAATGGTAAAAAGATTGGTCAGCTGTAATTTCCCGAAACAAAAGAAGCAAAAAGAAACCTAAGATTGATCACAAGATAAGATAAACTGTTGATCTAAGATTTTCATTCACAAATAATTTCTAAAACAGGCCTAGCTAACAAACAAACCCAACAGCATCACGAATGAGACAGCTGCTTGTGAGGATGTTGGAGCTAAAACCCTCGGTAACCTAATACTGTGCATGCAAATCACCGTGTTACATAAATTACCTGCTCACTGCTACCAGCGGCCAGT